GTTGTGATTGTGCCACTGAACTCCAGCCTGGGCAACAGAGTGCCAAAAACAGAAAACAAACAAACAAAAAACCACTCAAAACAAAGAAACAAGATCAAGATCTCTCTCTCCATCTCAATCTCTCTCAACAGCATCTCACTGTGTTGCTCAGGCCAGTCTCAAACTCCTGAGTTCAAGCAATCCTCCCACCTAGCATCCCAAAATGCTGGGCTTACTGGGATTATTGCACTTGGACTTTTTGTGACACTTTTTTTTTTTGAGTCTGAGTCTCACTCTATCACCCAGAATGTAAAATGTCCTAGAATTTAAGTGTTCTAGGCTGGAGTGCAGTGGCATGATCACAACAATCACGGCTCACACAGCCTCAACCTCATGGGCTCAGGAGATCCTTCCTTTCACTTTAGCATCCTGAATCACTGGGACTATAGGCACACACCACCATATCTGGCTAATCTTTTAATTTTTTGTTGAGACTAGGTCTCACTGTGTTGTCCAGTTGATCTTGAATTCCTGGGCTCAAGCAATCCTCCCGCTTCAGTCTCCCAAAGTGCTGGGATTACGGGCGTGAGCCACCGGTCCAGGCAAGATTGCTTTCTTTCTAGAAGCTCGGACATCAGAATGGCTGCTCTGAAATTCAAAGCAGCTGTGATTTGTTATTCTACCCCAAAGTCCCTGGTCTCCTTGGGAGGAGATCCGTACCATAATGTTGATGCTATCCTACAGATACTGCTTTTTCCAGATCTGCTAGATACAATTTATTATTACTAGCTGCTTGTTTAAAGAGAAGAGAGATGCCAAATTCATTAGAACAAGACGTATGACAAAAAATAACTCTTAGTCTTGAGTTCTTCATTTTTAAATCAACACAACTGTTATAAAATCATGTCCCTTCAAAAAAAGCTACCATTGGATGTCTCCTGAGTGTGAACGTGAAAGAAAGACTTTTCCTCTCTGGTTTCTAATGTCCTGCAGTTATTTGGGCTATTATATTGAAGTGCTCTTCAAAACAGCGTATGAACCCAGCAGTGCCAGAAGAAAGAACAGTTACTGATTCCTCAGCCTCCCGCCTGTGTTTCTGTAGCTTCACGTCTTAGATGTAAAATTTTACTTGAGAGTCTCTCAGATATACAAAAAAAATACCCACTCAGATTTATTTGCTTTTTAATATTACAAAATCACAACAGAAACCAGTTTGGTACTTTATAGGACCCCGTACTCATGAGGTTCAGCTTTAAGGGGTTGAAGACTCTTTCACAATACTCACACAGGTTAAATATGTGTGCACAGAATATACCATTCTGTGCTTCAGTAATTGTTTCTGGTGTTCTTGTTTTAAAATTTTTTCTTTGACATAGTACTCGGGTGCAGTTTTTGAAAATAAAATCTACCCAGCCTGTTCTCTTCTTTCTCTCCTTATTTCTGCATAATTGTGCTAATATACTAGCTAGGGCAGTTATACTTTAAATGGCATGTATATATTTAGCAGCACAATTATGCAAATTCGACTGTGTTTATGATTGTAAATATCCTCTCAGAGCAGTTACTTAGCATCTTGTCCTGAAATCCTTTTGAGTTCTGGTTGCGATGCTCAGAATTCACTCCTGAGTGTACTTCTCTGCTGTGTGGTGGTGAGGCTCACGGTTCTCACTCAGCAGGTAGAACACTGCACAGTGGTAAAATGTACAATTCTTTAACGACCTAGTCACTCTACGCCACTTACTGGCTTTGGGACCTTGGGCAAGGGACTTAGCATCTTTGAGTCTCAGTTTCTTCATCTGTAAAATAGGAATGATGACAGTACCACCATGGGTTGTCATGACGATTCCAGAGTATGATACATAGAAATGACTTTACTTAATACAGTGCTTGGCTCATGAAAAGCTCTCAGTAATGACAGCAGCCATCCTTCCTCCTGTTCCTTCTTATGTATTCCCTGCCAGTACTACATGACCGCCTAGTCAATGAGTTCATCAGAAGAGTTTACGATTTGATTCTCAGTTATCCTTGGAGAAGAGGAAGTATGCACCAGTCCCACGCTTCTTGCTCTGTCCTACATGCTTACCTGTCCATGTACAATGGAGGGACAGGTGAGGAAATGCTGAGGGCAAAAGTTCCTGACTCAAGTTCTTACTAGATAATCATTCTTCACTTTTGGCATGTGCTTGAGTGAAGTTAGTAGGGGTATTTAGGTCTTTCAGTAACAATGACTCTAACTGTAGTGTGTGTATGTGTGTGTGTGTGCGCACATGCACGCGCACCTATGTGGTACGTATCTGTGTTGTGGGTGTGTGTCTGTGTTGTGTGTGTATGTCTGTATGTAGGACCACAGGAGAAGAGAATCTATCTAGCCAGTCATATATACACAAGCGCTCCAATTCCACCCTGTGGAGACAAGCCGATTCACAGGTGAGAAGTCACCTCGGCAAGATGTGTGAGATAAATTTTTTCCTCTGTTATTTCACATTTTGGGGAAGAAAAAAATGTGAAAATGTAAAATTACATTCATAATGATAATCATATGTCAGTATGGTAGTGAAAATGACAGTGTATTTTAGGTGAGCATTAATCTTTTATTTTTTATTTATTTTTATTTTTGAGTTGGAGTCTCACTCTGTTGCTCAAACTGGAGTGCAGTGGCCACTCCTGGCCACAGCAGCCTTGACCTGCTGGGCTCCAGCGATCCTTCCACCTCAGCCTTCCAAGTAGTTGGAACTACAGGCGCGCACTACTACACCCGGCTAATTTTTTGATTTATTGTAGACATGAGGTCTCACTAAGTTGCCCAGGCAGGTCTCGAACTCACAGGCTCAGGCAATCCACTCACCTCAGCCTCCCAAGGTGTGGGATTACAGGCTGAGCCACCGAGCCCAGCGAGCATTAATCTTTTAAGTCAGTTTTTCTAATATTTGCTATTCTGGAAATACAAAAATTTGGATTTTCTAAAAAGGTTTTCTAACATGTAAAACAAATCCATAGATTTTCTTAGGTTGGATATAAATGGAAGTCTCTGAGGTTTAAAAGAATACTGATAGTAATGAAAGCTAAAATCTTTTAAGACTTTGAGCACATATAAAGGCTCAACGGGTTAGCAGAAGGTTCCTTTGTTTTATTCTCTCCCATAACTAAACTCCCTGAAAAACGAGGCTCAGTGATGTTCATTAAGTTGTGTACGTGTGGTGACCCCACGGGTGACATGGAGCTAGGTCCTGGGAAGAATGTAGGTACCATTGTTGGCCAAGATGTCCTGGGGACCCAGGATGGTAGAAACAGTTTAATATGATCATGGTAGAATCAAGCTCTCCATACTTTTCTATCTAAGGTGGGTCAGTGAGGCAGGAGATGGTGGGAGGATGGATTTTTGCTCTAAACATTTATATGCTGGAGATGGACAGTTTTTATTGTTTCCTGGACCAAATTATTCTGGCTCTAATTCCTGTCCCCTCAGTGACACATCATTTCCCAACCAGGACCTCACAGCCCACCACAGGGGACAACTGTGTTATCCTTTGTGCAAAGCAAACATCACAAGCTTCCCAGCTCTAGGGCACATCATGGTAGATTCCTCTCCAGTTGTGACATTGACCTGATCCAATGAGCCACTATGAGTGTTTATTTCACACTCCTTTGCTGACCTTGGTGATGAGAAGAGTCCCTTTCTTGGAAGTTTAGAATCTCATTTTCTAAGGACTTTGAAAAAGAAAATGAATACTATTTTCCAATTCTTAATTTTTCTTAGTCCTACTGAATCAAGCCAGTCACTGCTTACTGTTTCTCTAGCTGTGTGAATAAGTTAGAATTTATTGTTCCATTAATGACTTTAAACTTTCATGTTCATTTTCTTTCCATGCTCCTGAAATCTATCTGCTGTGATATTCCCTATGACTTAACAAATAAGATGGGTTAGCCCTTTCACGATAAAATTCTGCTAATGGGGACTGGGCATTCTGACTTGTGTATACAAACAGTAAGGTAGGCAGTTTCCATCCTATTCACATTTTGGGGCTTCTTTTTATAAGGTTATGTAATAAGTGATATCACCATTTTTTAGTGGGGTGCAGTGGTTCTAATAAGTACTAAGTAACTGAATACTGTATCTGGATCTTATTTTTTTATTTCCCTTCTGATTCATATATGACAACAAATAACAGCATGCTTAACCTCTTTTTGGACTCAATTTCTTTGATTAGATTTTTGTAGTAGACAAATAATTATAAAGGTTATAATTATTATATTGACTTTCTTCAACCAATTCAGGCTAGAGAAATTCCCTCTATCTAAATTAGCTTTTCTGTTACTATATGAAGTTGGGAGAGTTTTCAAGATATAGCAGGAAGCTTCTGGAATGGTAAATTATAAAATATATCTATTTTTAAAAAAGAAATTTAAATACCCATAGAGTCACATTCATGATAAAAATTTTGCTGATTTCAGCACCACTCTGGAATGAACATTAAATCTAAACCATTCTGCTTTCATGCAAATTCAGGCTTTATCATACTTGACACATTCTTTCCATTTCCCACAACCAGATAAGAAAATGAAATTGCATTCCACAAGGAAAAACACAAACTGCCATTTCAAGCAGGTAAACCCGAAACCACTCACTTCTTATTTTCAACAGCAGGTCTGTTATTATGACCTCTTGATCTTTTTGTCCAAATGATTTCTGCTAATCACAATTTTCTTCAGAATTATTCAAATTTATAGAAATGACAGTGCTTTTAGAACCACACTCCAGAGATTCACAGGACCAATCGCTGCCACTGGGATACCTGTCCTTTGAATGTGGCTAGTACTGTGCCTCACTCAACCACCACCAGTTTAGAAACGCTTTGTAGACAAGGGTGATTTTGATGCCACTCTACATCCTCTGCAGCACCAGCAGGACGCGCTGCACAGACTGGTGTTCAGCCATGTGTTCTCTTGGTGTGACCTCTGCAGAGCAGCCCTCGGCCACACCCGGGCACAGACCACCCTCAGCCGCCCCCACCACACCTTACCTGGTGTCTCTGTCTTTGGGTATGGTAGCTGTGCTGTAAGCAAAAACTTGCTTCTCAACTAGAGGAGGGCCGAGGTCCACAAGGCCGGATAATCCTGGAGTGTTCCGTGGTTTTTCGATATACACCAAGGTGCCCGGCTCCTTTTTAAAGGACTGGCGGCTGGGCGAGGCCCGGTCCGGCTGCATGGTGTGGGGAGGCCCATGGGCGTTATAATGGGCGTGCATGTCTATCATCCTCAGGTCACTGACTCGGTGAGGAGAGGCAGGGGGCGTTTTGGAGCCCAGCGTCGGCAAGTGGCTGTCTGGATATTTCCTTGATTTCTGTCTGTACAGCGACTGCTCCATATGCATCTCTGCTTGCAAAGAGGGGTTACAATAGGCACTCGCCGAGCGAATGGCGGTGCGGTGGTATGCGATGATGTGATCAGGGACGTCCAGGGGGTGCCCACCGTGGGACGAGGCTATGCTCATGCGACCCTCGTGATAGAGGTAAGGATCGGCGTAGAAGCCCTCGTTTCTGTACATCGCGATGTTCTTGCCACTCATGTCTTCATCCGGCTTGACATCTCTTCTTTCTAAGATGGCGCTGGGGCTTGGGGAGATGGGTCTAGAGACTGGCAGGCTGGAGAGTCTGTCCCTGGGGAGGGTGGCGTTGCCAGGAACAACCATGGGGCGGGTGCCCCCATAGGGGATTCTGGACGGGGAGGGAGGCATGGAGTGGGGCACAGGAGTGGACGGTGGGGAGTTCGGAATCGCATGGGGCGGATGAGCCGTGGACCCAGGGCGAGAGGCCCCCTCTCCTCTGGCATAAACAATTTCTCTCTGCATCTGAAAAGAAAACAAGGAATTAGAAAGTTGACCTTGATATTCATGTTTTTAGAGAAGTCTGAACTTGTGGCCATCTGGCTTCCCTGATGTGGGAATCTGAATAACGCCCCTCTTTTGCAAGATGTCCACACCCTGTTTCTTGGAACCTGTGCCTATATTCCCTTATGTGGCAAAAGGGACTTTGAGGGTGTGATGAAGCTAAGGAGGGTTGAGATGGGAGGTCCTTATCTAGGTAGCCCGATGCAATCACAAGAGTCTTGACATGTGGAAGGAGGAGGCAGGGGAGTCAGAGTCGGGGGAACTGTGATGATGGAAGCAGGGTCAGAGTGAGACTGGGAAGTGCTCTGAGCAGGGCCCGTGAGCCAAGGAATGCTGGCAGCTGCTAGAAGCTGGAAAAGGTGAGGGAGTGGATTTGTCCCTTGAGTCTACAGAAGGCGTGAGGCCTTGCCCACACCTTGATATCAGCTGGTGAAACCCATCTGGACTTCTGACCTCCACAATGATAACATAATGAATGTGTGGTGTCTTAAGCCATTACGTTTGTGAGAATTTGTTACAGCAACCACAGAAAATGAACACACCTGATGGAGTGCTCAATGTTGTAGAGTTTGAAGAAAAAATAATGCAGTGTTTTAAATTTTGAGGTCATAGCTTCCTAGAGACACTTAATCAATGTGGGCCTACCAACACGTTGCTAAGGTTGTGTTTTCTGAAAAGTGTCCTGAGCACATTTTTCTATTGCCAGTGTTGGGCAATAGTAACCATGTTTCTTGTCTTTCCAAGGTGATACAATCTAGAGACCTGAAACTGAAGGGAAGTGTCATTCATTCACCAGTTCTTTATTTGAGTCTATAAGAAGCCTGTAATCCTGCGCCTTTGGGAGGCTGAGGTGAGTGGATTGCCTGAGCCTGCGGGTTTGAGACCCGCCTGGGTAGCGAGACTTCATCTCTACAATAAATCAAAAAATCAGCCGAGCGTGGTAGCGCATGCCTGTAATTCCGGCTACTTGGAAGGCTGAGGTGGAAGGACCGCCGGAGCCCAGCAGGCGAGGCTGTGGTGGCCAGGAGCGGCCACTGCACTCCAGTTTGGATGACCGAGTGAGACTCCAACTCAAAAAAAAAAAAAAAGAAGAAGCTAGCACCAAGAGGTGGAAAGGAAATAATCCAGTAGGTAAGAGTACAATTACAGTTGACCCTTGAACATGGGCTTGAACCACATGGGTCCCTTTATCTGAAGATTTTCTTCAGCCTCTGTCACCCCAGAGACAGCAAGATCAACCCCTCCTTTTCCTCTTCTTCCTCAGCTACTCAATGTGAAGACGACAAGAATGAAGACCCTTGTGATGATCCACTTCTACTTAATGAATAGTAAATATATTTTCTCTTCCTTGGGATTTTCTTAATCATATTTTATTTTCTCTAGCTTACTTTATTGTAAGGATGCAGTAGATAATACATATAATAAACAAAATATGTGTTAATTAACTGCTTATGTTATTGGTAAGGCTCCTGGTTAACAGTAGGGTATTAGCAATTAATTTTGTGGGAATCCAAATTTATATGCAGATTTCTGACTGCATGGAGGGTCGGCACTTCTCACCTCTACGTTGTTCAAGGGAACTTTAATTTGTACCCACCCTACTGTGTTTAGCAACAGGCCAGAATTAAAAACACAAATTAATTCAGGATATGATTATTTGATACATTTTTGCTTTGGTTGAGGCCCAAGGTGGAAATGAATGCCCACTGAGACTCCCTGAACGGTTGTGAGAAAAGGGACAGATAGCCTTGGCCTGTTTGTCAAGTCCTATTTGTGGGACTCACAGTCCTTATCTTGACTTCTGGAAGACGTGACAGGAAGAAGGGTAAGAAGTATTGGTGGGTGGGTGAGGTAGGGGTGGGGTTCGAATAGACAAGAACCAAGATGAAAGGCTGAGAGATCACAGTGTAGGTAACCAGGGAATAGTAGAAAAAGTAGAGATTCCAGGAAAAGGGTAAAATGAAACAGAGCCCAATGCCCTGAATACAAACTAACTGCTTCCTTATCATAAAGATTCATTCATTTAATAAACAACATTTACAAGCACTTGCTAAGAGCCCGGTACTATTCTAGGATGCCGTTCTGAACAAGCCCCCAATTCTTGCCATGGAGAGGGCCCATTCTTTTGTATATCTCATAGATGAGAGTGCAAGAATAACTAGTGGTATACCCACAGATTCTTTATCTTGTTCCTGGAAAGATCTAGCCATGCAGAATCTCTGACCCAGACGTGGCACCTAGTATCATGGATTTCATAACAAAAATGACCGATTAAAAATGCAAACATCACTCATAAGTGGATCCTGAATATGTACCATAATACTATGAGAAGGGGAGTGGCAGTAGCCGGAACTGCCAGGGGAGGGATGGGGGTCACATAACATCAATAAGCATACCTGATCTCAAACCAGGTGAAGTAGGGACTAAACAGAGGCCCAAACTTCACCTGTATGATGACAGGTGTATATCTAATCTTGAATTGTAGCCTATATGCTTAAAAAATTTTTTTTAAGTGCAAACAGGCCAGGCTTGGTAGCTCAACCAGTAATCCCAGCACTTTGGGAGGCCAAGGCAAGTGGACTGCCTGAGCCCACAGGTTCAAGACCCACCCGGGCAACTTGGCAAGATCTCGTCTCTACGATGAATCAAAAAATTAGCTGGGCTTGGTATCACACACCTGTAGTTCTGGCTACTCAGAAGGGTGAGGCCGAAGGATCGCCGGAGCCCAGCGTGTTGATGCTGGGATGACTGTAAGCGTGTGTGACACTGCACTCCAGCCTGGGTGAAGGAGTAAGACTCCAACTCAAAAAAAAGTGCAAACAAGGTGCAAATATGTAGGAACAAAATAGACCTGTTCTGGGGTACATTGCCCGGGCACTCCTGAATTGTTCTCATCTCTCCTAGGGGCAGACTTTTTGGGGGCTCCCAGAATATTCAGGCCCCTTCCTCACAATTACGATTTTATCTCCACTACTCTTCACTTCCTTCTAAGACACACAAAAGTTCCCACTATAATAGGCTAGTCTGTTCTCTCTTCTCAAAACCTCACCTGTGAGAGCCTCAAGCTGTCCTTACCCCTGGGGTCTCTCCCCACATCCCAGCCCATGTGGATATGTACCTAGGCCTAGACTTGAGGTCAGGCTCCAGGTGTGTCTGCTCTAGATGGCCCCTGCCCTAATGATCTGCTCACTCTCATGACTCAGGTGTTCCCTGCCACAGACCAGGAGGGCCTGTCCCAAGGTCACTGTGTGATAATTGACTTGATTGATGCTCATTCCAGAATGGCTGGAGCAACCATGTGACAGAAGTTTTGCAGGGGAGCAACACAGATCCTCTATAAATACCTCGCCTACTCCATCTTCTACAATTCAGGGCTCAATAAAAAGAAAGGTTTGGCTAGGCAGTAAGCCATACAGGACTTCACAGGTCATAAAATACAAGAGGTATTGGCTCAGTGAGACGCGGGTATCTGGGCAAATTCCCCACATAATCAGATCACACAGCGCAAAAATCAACCAAAACAAATATTAAGATAAATTCATCACGTCGACTCCAACATGCCACTGTGTATGCATAAAGCATCACTAGTGCCACAACAAATGGTAGGTACTATTGTCATTATTGTTATTAATCTCCCCCAACCAAGTTTAAAATCTCTAGAACCCATTCGGGATAAATAATAGTCCTAACCAGGTTAGTCACTACTCCCTGTCCTCTTTTCCCTCTTCAACAGGCTTCAGATTACACCTTGATTTGGGGGACCCTGACCCCAATGAACACACAGCAGAACCTTCCCTCTTTCTGGCAAGAGAGTAAGAAGAGACATAAAGATCCTAGATTTGACCTGAGTAGGTAGAAAAAAAAAGATTCTAGGGAGCATAGAACTGTCTAGAAGGATGAAGAACATTAATGAAAGGAACATGTACAATTGACTTTAATTCATGAAGAGTTGAGTAAAGTGTCTTTGAGAACAGCAGAGGTATCTGTAGAGGTATTTTAAAAAACATGCTTGGTGACATGCAAAAAATGATTAGGAGATGTATTATATAAATAATTTTAAAATAAAAAATTAAAAAATCTCATTAGACTTCCTGGTGGTATGTGTAGGTAAGATCAGAAATAATAAAAAATAATTCTGATACATTGTGCTGAGCATTCATGAGGGGCATGTTGGTGATAGTCAAAATATTTTAGAGCCAATATCTAGCATGGCGTGGGCCCCAACCCACCAGAATGGGACCTTAGCTGATGAGGATGGATCCCAGCCATGAGCAATCGGCATTGTGGATCTGGAGGCAATGCTGTGTATCAGCCCTGCCTTGTTCACTTCACAATAATCTTGCCATCAACCAACAAGGTCACTGAAAGAACCACTGTCAGCCTGAGTTACCCACAGAGGAGCTGAGTACAAGCATTTGGTTATGATAGAACAGGTAAGCTGAGGTTGAATGTCTCCATCAATACAGGTGACTTGGAGGTTGGGAGCCTTTGGCAGAATCCTTATGTTGATTTGCCAAGCTATGACTGACTTTCCAAGACTGAACTTTAAAAAGAAACCTGATCATTTCATCCTCGGCTCTAAATAGAGCCCAAGAAGAGAATGACACAATGATCCCATTATACAGTGGGAACATTTGTCCTAAACCTACAACTAGAATGAACCCTTAAGATGAGACAACTTGGATTCCTAAGAGGCAGAGACCAACTAAAGGCAACTCACTCTTAGGATGTGGCAGGTGGTAAGGAAAAATGAGGAGAATCGTTTTCCAGTCTTCCGTGTGATATCCCAAGGTCACACTTGCAATAAAATGGGGACTTTACAGATTCCAGACTATATTCACCTGATTGACTGAAGCAGGGCAATGATTAAGACTGTATAATTCACAATTTAAAACAACCCCAGCCTTTGATGCTAGTGTTCTTTCTATGGCGCTAGTTCCTGGAATCAGGCACAAATACAG